ATACCTCAGATTATAGCCAACAGCGATTGTTGAAACCTTGAATAAGATTGTTGTGAAGGTTGACAAACATCTCATCGTTTACTGTAGGATTTGTACGACGCGCTCGCTAATGATTCTCCGCCGCAAAATGATCAGGACCCGATGAATACAAATTTAAACAAATGGGAGACTGTTATGGATCAAGAAATGGGCAGACCTAACACCCATACTCCTCTCAACTTTCATCATTTTACACATCAGCTAGATGTCAGTATGGCCTCAAGTTCGCAGAATAGCCCTTAGCAAAGCGCCTTTACGCAGACACCTTCACATCAAAGCAGAACACCGAACAGTAAGCCATCATGAGGAGAGAGTAAACAAACTGATAATCCTTGTTTCACCCACATTTGTCTCTGTTTAAAAGGAGAAGGCAGGCTTAAAAGCAAAAAAATATTTTTAAAGTGAATAGCAACAACATCGAGCAGCTGTGCCCAGATTTCGAGTCGACGCACCTATGACCATATACTTTTCTGGAAGTAAATACATAAACTTCAGGTTCTAATTCATTTTGTGGTTAATGTGATTACTTCTTGGATCAAGAAAAAGGAAGGTGATGAAAGAGAACCGGATTTTGGGAAAATCGAGTACGCAATTTTATATGATGGAAGCATTAATTTACGTCAAACTTTTTTGTTTCAATGTAAGAGAGCAAATGCAAAGGTAACCCAAAAAAACTTGATCCGAATGCAGTTGCAACAAATTGCTACAGTACTGTCTCTGTGGTACCTAACACCAACCAATACAGGATCTAAGTAAATCAAGTAAGCATAGCCTGACGGTTGAGGAGCGATGTGGAGGTGAATCACCCACGAACATGGCAGTGTGAATCGCGGTGATACGAGCGAGTGCGTAGGCGCGTTTACTTTGGACGACAATGTCAAGGATGCATCAGGGTGGAAAGGAAACAGGATTCACTTTCCAAATTAAATGGTCTCAAGTGATAATAGGAGTTTGAGAGCTTATTCAATTTTGCATCATATAGATATAAAACCTTAACAGCATCATTGTTTTTGTTGCTGCCATTGTCATTAATAATCTACTCAGATCAGAACTAATTCGAGAATCGGCTAGAATTTAATAATCACAACGGCCTATTTATCATTGTCAATGACCACAGTAGAAGGCAATAAATAAATAAAACTAAATAAGCAAACGTCAAAGTCATTGAAAGCAAATAGGTTTTGAAATAAGTCTAAAAGCTTAAGGTGGTTAACAAAAATGGATTAGAGGAATCGTATTCATCAGATGAAGGACGTTACGACTTTCTCTTTCGTTTTTCAACTCCGGTAATGAAGGCTACTATATAAGCAAGCCCACTCCAACGTAGAAATAGCCAAGCTTCCACACACTTTCAGAGTTGAAAGAAGGTTGAAGGTGTAAACTAATTAACACGCAATCAACAAGCCACAATCGATCATCAAATTGCCAAGGAAAAAAGCGACACGGCCCTCTGGAAAATGCAGAAAGTGAGAAGTAGAGGTAGTATCTCGCAACCTAAGACCTAAAATATTTGGTGCATAGATCCGTAAGAGAGAGAAACCCACCATAATGCTAGGTAGCATGACGCCGGTGGGTACGGGTACACCGTAGACGAGGACAAGTCCAACAAACTTGAAGAGTAGAGCACCAAAAAGCAGGGCTACACCTCGTGCCATCCGTGGGCCCGCACGAAAACTGCCCACCAGATTGGTCTCGCTCATAATCGTCGCATTACCGTAGCCACCCTCCGGTAAACGAATGTAGTCACTGGAAAGTGGAAATATGTTGCTTACGATCAGAAAACTGGCCACTTGTTTGCAATGCTTAGACTGAATTTG